CCAGAAAGCGAGAAGGGCGGGGGCCGCGGCATTTTGTGTTGTGCCCGGGAAGGGCCCAGTTACCCCCTCCTGGTCCTTGCGTCTGCAAAACCTCAAGTGGGTGACCCGCCCCGCTTGCTCGCGTCCGCCTCGGGCGCGCGCGCCCCGCATTGCAGCGGCAACCACGTGCTTGCCGCATGTGGCATTAGAGACCTCGGTTTGGGGGGTTGGGGTCTGGCGCCCCGGGACGTCCTGTCTCCCTTGCCACCTCAGCTGCGGGGACCCTGAAGAATACTGACCGACGTGTCCTTAGGCGAATGTAGCCTAAGTCTCCGGCACAATATAGTTCTTGTCGGAGGCCGACCTTATATGGACTATGTGTAAAAGATAGGTAGTGTGAATTAAGTGCTGGCTTCCATTGGTTTGGGTTTCCTTTTGAAATCTTAACTGTCGAGGTTTGGCTTCCTACTTGGGGCTTTGTCCACTGAACCGCCATTATGGGATCAATTTACACGGGAACGACTGGGAGATGTTTCTAGGAAATTTCAGTCCACCCAGTAAATGGCATTATCGTGCTCTTTAGGCTGCTTCTAGACGTTTAGGGTGGCCACAGTTACTTGACTGTAGCCTGATTACTTGAGAATCTACTGTGCCTGTGATGAAACCCCACGAGCCGCTTGGATGAATGCTGAAGGTCACGTGTTCTGTGGGGTTATATGACACAACAGATTTGAATCTTGAGCCTGGAATATGTAATTCTGTTTTGGATGGCTGTAGAAAATTCAGGAGAGAGGAGCCCCTTCCCCCAATAATAACTCATACACAGTACGGTGGGGGAGGTTCTGAGATTGAGATTGTATTTGAGAATTTTCTAACCTGTTTTGAGCGCTTGTTCCTAAGACAACTAACAACAAAATCAAATGGTTGCTGTTTTCCTCTTTTCATAAAGTTTTCTCATTGCTGAAATCTTTAATTCTCTTATTGCCGGGCGTGGTGGCTCACACCTGTAAATCCCAGCACCAGGAGGCTGAGGCAGGAGGATCGCTGTGAGTTCGAGACCACCCTGGGCTACGTAGTTCTAGGGCAGTCTCAACTACATAGTGAGACCCTGTCTCAAAAAAAAAAATAATCAGGCTGATCTGCATACATCTCAGTTCAAAACTCCCAGGTACTCTCAGGGTTTTAGTTGGTAGTAATGACCTGTGGAATTGAATATTGTCTGAGTATGGGGGGGTGCGCGTGCCATCCAGTATAAGCAAGCTCTGCTGAAGATTGAACCCAGCGCCCTTCTTTGCACTGAGTTACACCTCCCCCCCCCCCCCCCCAGTTATTGAGAGTCTGGCTAAATTGCTCAGGCTGAGTGTAAACTTGTGAACCTGCCTCAGCCTCCCATAGTGCTGGAATTAAACATGTGCAGTACCACAGTGGGCTTCAGCTGTTGAAGAAATACATAAGAAAAGTCCATCTTGTTTGTTTGTTTGTTAGATTTAAACATTGTTGTCTTTGAAAATTCGTACTATAAAGTTAATTGTAGGGCCAGGGATTTAGCTCAGTGGTGGCTGCCTGCCTGGCGAGGGATTCCCCCATACCAAAAAAATTACATGCTTCTTTAAATTTAAAGATGTCATTTCTACTTTTCACCTGTTTAATGTCAGTTTAAGCAGCTTTTATTAGGAAAAATCAGAATGCCTCAAGGGAGGACTAAAGTGCTTTTAAGGTGTAAAATACGCATACATCTTGGTAGTTTAAAATGCATAAAATATGCTGAGTTGATGAACTTGTGCAATTGTTAAGGTGGTTTCAAGTAAAATTCAGTGATGTATTTAGCTTTGGTGGGGGGATCCCTTTCCAGGCAGGCAGCACCGCTGAGCTGAATCCCCAGCCCTGTAGTAGCTTTTATCATTCAAAATAGTTTGTGATAAAGCAGTGCATTAAACAGCAACTTCATGCTGTTGAATTGTTCATTATTGTATTTTTTTATGTTTTACCCACAGTGTTGTGTTTTTTGTTGTTGTTTTGTTTTTTAAAAGTAAGACTCCAGCTTTTTCAAAAGAGACATCAAAGGAAGAGACATCAGTGGTAACTTTAAGGGCTAGGGATGTAGCCTGGCACCTGCTTGGCAAGTGCAAGGTCCCGAGTTCAGTCTCCGGTATCAGAAAAAAGTAGTAATTTTAAAAAATTGACAGGAATTTTCTCTTCCAGATAAGATCTGTGATCAGATCAGTGATGCAGTCCTTGATGCTCACCTTCTGCAGGACCCAGATGCCAAAGTGGCTTGTGGTAGGTGCAGAATGGGTGTGCTTATCAACTGATAAAAAGTAATGTTGAAAACATTTGTAAAAATGGCATTTGCTATGAACCTCTTTTTTATTAGAAACTGTTGCTAAAACTGGAATGATCCTTCTTGCTGGGGAAATTACATCCAGAGCTGCCATTGACTACCAGAAAGTGGTTCGTGAAGCCATTAAGCACATTGGATATGATGATTCTTCCAAAGGTGTGTTTTTAATGATTTCATTTTTCTAAGCTGCTTTTCTATTTTTACAGCACAGTTAAAGTTTAAGCTTCTAGAATGTTCTTAGTACTCCTAAATGTCAGTTGTATACTTTTGTTATGCTTTGCTCTTTTGTTCCAGCCTATTCCAGTCTTTAAAAGTGACAGTTTGGAGCTGGGCATGGTGGCACACACTTGTAATCCCAGCTCTCAGGGAGGCTGAGGCAGGAGGATCACTGTGAGTCTGAGATTAGCCTGGGCTACATAGTGAGTTCCAGATCAGTCTCAACAACATAGTGAGACCCTGTCTCAAAAGACAAAACAAAACAAAAATTGGGGGGTAGGTGTTCCTTTATCCTGGCGTACTGTAAATAGCACCAACCTTCCCCCACCACCATTTCTCAAGTACTTTTCACTTAAAGAAGCACTTTATAAACTACTGTTTTTGGCACATCCATATTGTTAGCACCACTATTGTGCTTTGGAACAACTGAAGTAAAGTAAGGGTTATTTGAATACACTGTATGCCGTAACAGCTAGTGGTTGCAGAGTGACTTAAGGGGTGGGGTAGGTGGAATATACCGCTTAGACATTGAACATAAAGGCGATTCCTCTTATAGTAATTCGGAATGGTGGTGTAAGTAGAAAAGGTATTGTGACTTTCTTTTCCTAGAAAAACATTTTTTTTGTTTATAGGGTTTGACTACAAGACTTGCAATGTGCTGGTGGCCTTAGAGCAGCAATCACCAGATATTGCTCAAGGTGTTCATCTTGACCGGAATGAAGAAGACATTGGTGCTGGAGACCAGGTACTATGATAGAGGCTGTTTGCATCTCTCATAAATAAATTCTGAAACTTGTATCACATTGGTGACTTATCCTTTTTTCAGGGTTTAATGTTTGGTTATGCCACTGATGAAACTGAGGAATGCATGCCTTTAACCATTGTCCTAGCCCACAAGCTAAATGCCAAACTGGCTGAATTACGCCGTAGTGGCACTCTGCCTTGGTTACGCCCAGATTCAAAAACCCAGGTAAGTGATTTTAAAACTATACTGTCACTGGCTGGACATGCTGGTGCACGCTTGTAATCCCAGCACTAGGGAGGCTGAGGCAGGAAGATCACCATGAGTTTGAGGCCAATCTGAACTACAAAACAAGACTCAAGAAAAAAAAGACAAAAAGGTTGTACTGTCTGAAATTACATTAGCATAGGAAATCATAAAGTCATTTAATTGTAGCTAATTAATGATAGCATTTCTAGGGCTGGGGATTTAGCTCAGTGGCACTGCACCTCCCATCCTGAGTTCAGTACTGCAAAAGAGTAGCATTTGTCTTTTTTGTTTGGTAAGCAGTGTTCTGATAACTTGTGTTGCCCTCAAGGTGACTGTGCAGTATATGCAAGATCGTGGTGCTGTGATTCCCATCAGAGTCCACACAATTGTTATATCTGTTCAGCATGATGAGGAAGTTTGTCTTGATGAGATGAGAGATGCCCTGAAGGAGAAAGTTATCAAAGCTGTTGTGCCTGCAAAATATCTCGATGAGGATACAATCTACCACCTACAGCCAAGTGGCAGATTTGTTATTGGTGGCCCTCAGGTAATGTGGATTTAATAATTGTAGTGGTTTTCGATCATAGGTTACTTGGAAAATATTTGCTATCAGTTTTTGTTTTTTGCTTTCTGAAGTATGTATACCTGTGAATCTTTATGGTGTAGAAAAGACAACCTAATATAGAACCACTTCTTAGGAAGGTCTAGGTATAAAGTGACTGAAATCCTGTAATTTCAGGGTGATGCTGGTTTGACTGGCCGGAAAATCATTGTGGACACGTATGGTGGTTGGGGAGCTCATGGAGGAGGTGCCTTTTCAGGAAAGGATTATACCAAGGTGGACCGTTCAGCTGCTTACGCTGCTCGTTGGGTGGCAAAATCCCTTGTTAAAGGAGGTCTGTGCAGAAGGGTTCTTGTTCAGGTATATACACACACACACACACACACACACACACTCTCTCTCTCTCTCTCTCTCTCTCTCTCTCTTTATATAACTGGAGTGATTAAATTATAAACGGGGGTATTTAGTAATAATACATTTATCTACTTGTTTTATGCCAATATATTACACAAGTATGCCTTTGAATTACTAACTCTTAGAACATTTATATCCTTTTTAGGTCTCTTATGCTATTGGAGTTTCTCATCCATTGTCCATCTCCATTTTCCATTATGGTACCTCTCAGAAGAGTGAGAGAGAGCTATTAGAGATTGTGAAGAAGAATTTTGATCTTCGCCCTGGGGTCATTGTCAGGTAAAGATGGTAAAGCATATTGCTAATGAAAACTAGAGGGTGTGGGTGTGTGTATATTCTGCTTAAATCGAGGAGGTGAAGGTAGACTCCTCAAGTGGGAAAACAACAAATTCCTAGAACATGTTGATGCTTTAAATTGCTTTTGGGGGGCTTAGTGGAGAAATTAATAGTGTTCCTTGGCTTAGACTAACCACTGTAGATAAGGTGTTTGCATTTGAGAAATTTAATACATAGATAAGTAGGATGTTCAAGGCTGTTACAAAGAAAATAACCATAGTGAGCAATGGGACCTTGGTAAGTATTCTGTGATCTCAGATGAGCTTTCTGATCATTGGAATTCCTCAGAATAATGAGTTTTCCTATTTGTTGAGCCAGGGCCGGAAAAACAGCTGTAGTTACTAATAACTGTGCAAGGAGTTTGGACACCAGGGAAGTAACAAACATTTCTACCACAAACTTTTTTCCTAGCATACCCCAGAGAACTGAACTCATTTGCCAGAGCTCTTGAAAATGAGTTTGCTGATTGTTTTGTTTTATTTTAATTGAATGCTACATATTAAGTTACGGACTTATATATTCCAGGGATCTGGATCTGAAGAAGCCAATTTATCAGAGGACTGCAGCCTATGGCCACTTTGGTAGGGACAGCTTCCCATGGGAAGTGCCCAAAAAGCTTAAATATTGAAAGTGTTAGCCTTTTTTCCCCAGACTTGTTGGCGTAGGCTACAGAGAAGCCTTCAAGCTCTGAGGGAAAGGGCCCTTCTCCCTAATTTTTCCTGTCCTCTTTCAGCTCCTAATCAGTTGGCAGTCTCTCTCTAGTCAATGACATGAATTTTAGCTTTTGTGGGAGACTGACTGTAAGTTGGGCTTGCTATTCTGTCCCTAGGTGTTTTGTTCACCATTATAATGAATTTAGCGAGCATAGGTGATCCATGTAACTGCCTAGAAACAGACAGCACTGTAGTGAATAATGCTTTGAAATCGAACCTTTGTGCCCTATCACTCAAACCTCCAAACTCCTAATTGCGTTGACTTCTCACCATACTGAAAATGTCCTTGTAATGTGCACGTAAAGTACTTGTAATTCCACTATATATAGCCTCTTGTCTGGCAATGCCACAGCCCTGTCAGCATGAATTTGTAATGTCTTGAGCTCTATTATGAATGTGACGCCCTCTCCTAACTCACCCTGTAACTCAATCCATTTCTAATTATGTAGCTTTGTCAGGGAGTGTTCTATCCAGTCAGTCTTGCATGTAACGCAAGTTCCAGTTGGAGCTCTAGCCTGACATCA